AGAAGAGAATGATAAATCAAAATAATTTTATTTTATTTTTCTGCATTAACCTAACATATTATCTGATAAATGAAATGATTTTTTACTCTCTCTCTCTCTTAATTGACGGGAGAAGTGAGACTTTTTTTTTTTTTTCTCTACGTCATGAATATTCTTAACCATTACTCACTCGTCCACCTCTAAACAAACTAGTTCTTTATTCAAAAAGGTAATTTTGGTGAAATTCTAGAATAGAAAAAATTCTATGTAGCTTGCAGTAAGTAAGAAAAATAAAAATTTGTGATTTTTATAATTGATAGAAAAAAAATAAGTGAAAACTTTTAATTCATAATTTATAGATTCAAAGTCCAAAAATAAGAAGCCAATCTATTCATAATGTGATCTACCATCTTAGGATTCTCCGAATTGTTCCTCGAATATTCCAATCAAAATTACATCCATTGATCAAAATACTTTGTAAAATAAAACTACGAAACTTGAAGGGGTAAAATAATTAATTATGGCTTGCTTCCCAAGTATATAATTTATTACAAAAATAATCATCGTACTTTACATATTTGTTAAGTAAAATAAAAATATAAAAATCATAAAAGTTATTTTGTATGGCATATTTGGCTTCCCTTAAAATTTAATAATATATTTTTAAGTGCTTATAAATCATGAATCATAAAGATCCTAAGGATTGTGTTCTCGAAAATAATAGTGATTTTTGGAAAAGTGCGTAGCTAAAAAGTAGGAAAAAATTTAAAATTTAGTTGTACAAAATATTTTATTGTGAGAATGTATGGCTGAAAATGAGTTCGAAAAAAAATATTATTTTAATAATTTTCAAACAAGGAGCATTTTTTTTGGGTTTATTTGTATGCATCATGCAAATAGACATTTAGGAATTTTTTGACAAATTTTTAATAAAATTTTAGCAGATTTTAATCATGTTTTTTAAATGAGTGGTTCAAAAATTATAAAAATTTTGAATTTTAAGAAATGTGATTAAAATTAATTGTTAACTTTGATATTATTTTTTAAAACTTGTTTGGTAAGCGGATCCAAACGTGCTCAAAAATACTTTTCTTGATTCTCCAGAAGGACAAAATCAGTGTACTCATCCAGAATTCTTGAAAAAACAACTGCAACTTTACTGTCTAAAATTCTCTTTCTTTTTCCCCAAGAAAAAAGAAGGAAAAAAAAAGTATAAAGAAGCGATTATTCGGCCTGCACATGTCAATAAACCCCTTTAAAATCACCCGATAACAATACCCACAATCACCTATTTTTCTCCCACCCGCTTTCTATCAAGTTTCAACTCAGCTTTAACTCTCTCTAATTCAAATGGGCAAGATCAAGATTGGAATCAATGGTATATTTTCTTGATTTTGTTCAATTCATCAGCATGTTCTGTTTTGCATAAAAGCTGCTTATAGTTCATAATTTTTGCTTGGATTTGGTTTTTTTCCTAAACATTTTTGGATCTTTCTAGAAATGGGTTTTTGAATATTAGTGGTTAAAGTTTGATATTTTATTTTCTTTTATTTTAAATGGATTTTTAATCAGGATTTGGAAGGATTGGTCGTTTGGTCGCTAGAGTTGCTCTGCAGAGGGATGATGTAGAACTTGTTGCTGTTAATGATCCATTCATCACCACTGATTATATGGTATTCTTTCTATCCATCTATTTATGCAACGTATATGAACTTTCTCTCATTTTCTGGATATTTTAATCTGATTTAAAAAAAAAAAAAAACTGCAGACATACATGTTTAAGTATGATAGTGTGCACGGCCACTGGAAGCACAATGAGGTGAGGGTCAAGGATGAAAAGACCCTTCTTTTTGGTGATAATCCAGTCAGAGTTTTTGGGGTCAGGTAGGATTTTTAATTTCTCTATGTACATTCTTGAAAACTGAAAAATTATTAGAATTCATTTTTTGATGATTGATTGGAAATTTTTAGGAACCCTGAGGAGATTCCATGGGCCGAAACTGGTGCTGAGTTTGTCGTGGAGTCAACCGGAGTTTTTACCGACAAGGATAAGGCTGCTGCCCACTTGAAGGTCTTTTACTGATCAATCTTCTATGATATAATTGGTAGGGGGATGACTGGATAGTATTTGGTAGCGTTAACGAGAAAAATAAGCTAACTCTTGTTTATTATACGTCAAGTCTATGATCCTTTAGTCTTGTCGATTATTGTGTATCATAGGTGATCTAATGACATAGTTGTATTTATGTTTATGTTTCAATTGCATTACCATGAGAGTTTGTTTTAGCCATTTCGACATTTCTGTCTTGTTAACTTTACCTTTGTTGTGCTGACATCTGGTTAAATTTAAGGATTATTCTACTTGTACATTCGGGTATACATCGTGGGTGACATAATGCACAAGTTGTATTCTGTCATTGGCCGGTGGAAACTGATTTTTTTTCACAGCCAATGACAGAATGTCATTTGTGCATTGTGTCATCCAAAGTGTACACTTGAGTGTACATGTAGCAAAGCTCTAAATTTAAAGCCATTTTCGTATAAATACTTGAAATACTAACGATTGTTGGGAGTAGATGTGTTTTATCTATTCAATAAGGTTGTTGAAACAACTGTTTTAGATTGGCCTAATGACTTTTTCTTCTTTTAATTGATGTACTTGTGTCATGCGAAGTTGGATCTACATGCTCGACATTTTAAATTTTCAATAGGCATTATTGTGTCTGAAGTTTGTGGGTGTAATTAACTGATCGTGCTTTGTATTGATCGAAAAAATCAGGGTGGTGCTAAGAAAGTTGTCATTTCGGCTCCAAGCAAAGACGCCCCCATGTTTGTTGTTGGTGTTAATGAGAAGGAATACAAGCCTGATCTAGACATTGTATCCAATGCTAGTTGCACCACTAATTGCCTTGCTCCACTGGCCAAGGTTTTTCGGCTTTACTCTTGATTTCGTCTCTATTAGCCACTGTCTGCTGATTTGTCGTCTCTTCTAAGGTTATTTGTTTTGGTTCAAATTCTGGCAGGTCATAAATGATAGGTTTGGTATAGTCGAGGGTCTCATGACCACCGTTCACTCCATTACTGGTGAGTGGTTGCTCGGTTATGTATGGGTTGGAAATGTAAGCCCCAAGCATGAATGATGACACAATATTTTTCCATTGTGATAATTTAGCTACTCAAAAGACCGTTGATGGTCCATCAAGCAAGGACTGGAGAGGTGGAAGAGCTGCATCTTTCAACATCATTCCCAGCAGCACTGGAGCTGCCAAGGTACTTAATTATTGAAGTCTAATGTGGACAATAACATCAAAATTTGTTTAGTTGGCTTGTCTGATTCTCTATCCAAATGTGTAGGCTGTTGGTAAAGTGCTTCCATCCCTAAACGGGAAGTTGACAGGGATGTCCTTCCGAGTTCCTACAGTTGATGTTTCTGTGGTAGACCTCACTGTCAGGCTAGAGAAAGAGGCCACTTACGAGGACATCAAAGCTGTCATCAAGTGAGCTAATCATCTAATTTCTTTCATCATTATATTCACCAACTTTTCGAATTACCCCTAAATTGCTTGCTCCGTTTTTTCTCAGGGAGGAGTCGGAGACAAACCTCAAGGGTATCTTAGGTTACACTGAAGATGATGTTGTTTCGACTGACTTTGTTGGTGATAGCAGGTGAATAACCATTAACTTTAAGGACCTCGTGGTGTATCAATCAATCATTTAGGTTTAAAAGATGAAATTTTGTTAATCATTTGGTGCATTCTTTTCCTTGTGCAGGTCAAGCATTTTCGATGCCAAGGCTGGGATCGCTCTTAGCAAGAAATTTGTGAAGCTTGTCTCGTGGTATGACAATGAATGGGGTTACAGGTGAACTTAATCTCTCTCGTTCTTTTACTCCCCCTTGTGCTCATATCATTGTGACAACCAAAAATATGATCGTGGATTTCACAAACTTGACATGATGATTGTTTGTATTGCAGTTCTCGTGTGATTGATTTGATCGTTCACATGGCTTCAGTTCAAGCCTGAGGCTTCCACTGGTGCTACAAGATCCCTTAGTTTTTCGTCCAGTATTTTATGGTTTTTGGGTTCCTCCTCAAGTTTCTGTTTGGTTCAGTTCTAGAATAAGTGGAATTACTACAGCTACTTTTCTAATTTATGCTTATTTAATGTTTGGATCATTGTTAACAAGTTTTCCCTTGCGGGTTTTATATGAAAACTAATAATAAACTGCGAGTGAACACATTCTTTCTATGTTCCATGAAAATGTGATGAATTTTGCAACATAATTGTTCAATATCTTGTAATTATTGCCAATTTGAAACATTGGAGCAATCCTCATAGAAGAAAGTCCATATCTTCGTCGGGACAAGAAAACCCATCTTCAACTCTCACTTCTTTCTAAAACAGTTTTAGCCTTTGTTTGTTCCAACTTCTTTTTCCCCATTAATAGAAAGAATGGGACCATTTTTTTCAAAGTTGGTGGGTCCCAACAAGACACAAATGGTCAAAAATGGTAGGCAGGGCCACTGTTCGAACGGTTCTTTTTCTTCTACCAATGAGCAACAAACAGAGGCTTAGAATGGAATCAACATACTGTTTTAAGATTAAGTAATTATTATTTGAAAAACTCTGATCGATCTTATAGGAGTGAACATTTTAATCGAAATTGAATATTCCAAATTGGAATCTAACTGAACTGAACCGAATGGTTTCATTTACAAAATATTCAAAATTTAACGAGTAATACTGGATGTTGAAATATTTGGATCGACCTACTCTATATCCACCCTGCTATCTTTTGCTAAAAGGACTGAGTCAAATACAAAGATTTTATTGCATGTAGTTTGGATAAATATATATTTCTCCATATGTACAAGATTTGAAATACAAAAATTTAAGACTAATTTGGTAGAGATGAATACTATATTAGCGATAAGAAATTTTGTGACCTTAAATCCATAGAAAACTCATAATTAATGGCAGCAAACCGTAACCCTTGCTTGGAAGTGATATTTTGAGCATTTTTAGTCACATTCTAAAAAAATCACTATTCATGTTTCTCCATATATATTTTTTCTACTATTTAATCATATATTCTCAAAAAATTACTTTCACACAAGCACATAGAAAATTTGTCGGGTTATCAAATTACACCTTCGAGATTAGTAACCAAAATAAAGTACTCTAGAAAAAATAGACACTACAAGTAATTTAAAAACAACGAGGTTGAAGTTTAGCCTATTTATAAAGCATATATTCCAAGACAAATAGTCTTTGTTGATGTGGAAGCTACGGTTATGAAAACATTTATCAATCATACTGCATGTACATGGTGAGTGTTCTGTAACTCCCGCCGACAACTCACGTAAGGGATGAATAAAATTTTAAAATTTTTTATTGAGGTGGGTCTTGCGTGGGACCTTTCTCATGTGAGAGGGTGTAGGGGTTCTGTGAATCTCTACTCCTGTACAAAGAGATTAATTCCAAATTTATACTATACTATTATTGTTTTGTCATGGGATAACAGTCCTTGTATTTGTTGTTGTGGAAGTTGCAGTTATGGAAAAATTTATATTATTATTCTGTCATAGGATAACGGTACTTGTGTAAAATTGATTTTGTTAAAAATGATTATTTTGAAAATTTTGTGATTAAAAAGTAGAGAAATTATTAAACAAATGTGATTTTTTTTTTGAGAATGTGTTATTGAAAATAAGTAGGAAAAAAGCGATTTTGGCAAAATCACTTTCAAACAAAGAATTCAAAATTATAAGGTTTAACTTTGCCAAAAAATTTCATTTACATACATTTGCAAAACAAATTTTAGAGTCTATTTGATATTTGTTTTTTACATGAATACACGGTTTGGTACAGAAAAGTTTCATTTGTTTATTCACGCATACTGCCATGAGATGAATTCTAAAAAATAATGATGATGACTAGATTCTGACAGTCATTAATATTTCAATTACTACCCTCCGTGAATTGGGTACATGATAAGTGTTAGGTGGGCCCGTATTTTTTTTTTTTGTCTTTACTATTATCTTTTTGACTATTTCAATTCAAAATTTCACCATTGTTATAAATGATTTAAATGCTTCAATTGAGGTTGTCTTGTAAGACCCCCTTTTTTTACCCTTTTTTTTGGGAACGTAACTTTTCAGAGTATTATGGTATCTGTAAACGTCACATTGTTTCCGTAAGCAATAGCAACATATTCGGATGTACTAAGTCTATCCGTTCGTTCTTAATAATGACTACTGATAAGTGTAGTTTTTATACTTTTTCGCGGCGCTAAATCGTGATGTTTTGTTGTCTTTTAAATAAAATTCTACTTAATTTATGTTAAATTGTATTGTGTAGGTAAAACTTTATGTTTATTGCAGAATTGACGAAAAGAGTGCAAAATAATAGAAAAAATGGCAAGATTTAAAGTACGAGGACTAAAAGAAAAATATAGAATTGGATTAACCAAATTGGACTAAAAGAAAAATATAGAATTAACTAAATTGTCTTCAGGTGGCACCTCTTTCACGTTGGATCTTCAAGTGGCACGTCTCTCACGTTTCTAAATTTTATCCTTGGTTTTGTATTCTTCTTCACTATGGCATGGCAGATAGAATTGGATGGCTTTAACTCTGGTATAGCCTTCAAAATCTCTTTTGGTTTGACATTGTTTGGAGGTTTCCAAGGTTTTTCCACATAGCTCTCATTTTTGTTAGGTGGATAGACTTCATGAGCCAATATGAATTCAACTACTTCATTGGTTCCTGAGTATTTACCAGTAAGAGATGTATCCCTTATTGAATAACTGGTGGTCATATGTAGCACTAGAGGGTCACAAAATAAATCCATTTTTTCTCTATTACCTACAGCTGCTTCAACTGATTGGATCATATCACAAGTGTCAGCTTTTTCTGGAGGTTTCTTCGCTTGATAGATGTTGAAATGTACACTCTCATCATTAACCCGCAATGTCGACGTTCCTTTGAGTACATCAATCAATGCTCTTCCAGTAGCCAGGAAAGGTTTGCCTAAAATGATTGGAATATCCTGGTCTTCTTCCATATCTAATACGATAAAATCTGTGGGGTAAATGAACTTGTCCACCTTTACCAAGACATCTTCAATAATCTCCCTTGGATGCTTTATGGAGCGATCAACCAGTTGCAATGATATTGTCGCTGGTTTGGCATCTCCAATCCCTAATTTCTTGTACAAAGATAACGACATTAAATTTATACTTGCGTCAAGATCGCATAAAGCATGTTCAAAATATTTATCTCCTATGGTACATGTATAGTAAAACTCCCTGGATCCTTGAGCTTAGGAGGCAATTTATTCTGTAGACGTGCACTGCACTCTTCAGTTAGCATCACAATCTCATAATCCTCCAGCTTCCTCTTGTTGGCAAGAATTTCCTTCATGAATTTTGCGTAGCTGGGTATTTGTGCTAGAGCATCCGCGAATGGAATGTTGATTTGCAG